CACCACCCCTGACTGCCCCCCGCCACCACATCCTGTCCCCCGCGACCACTGCCCCCATTCAAACCCCCTGCCCTCTGACCACCCCAAGCCCTATCCACACCCCTGCCCCCTGACCACCACCCCAAACTCCCCTGCCCTCTATCCACCCCCGCGCCCTGCCCCCATACCACGCTGCCTCTGGGCCAGCTCCAGGCACCAGCTGAACAAGCTGGTGCTTGGGGTGGCAGATTGTTGGAGGCGGCATTCTGCCCAATCCTAGGGCGGCACGGACACGGCGGCGCGGAGAACCAGAGTGCCCTGCAAGGCAGTCCTCTTCCTTCCCTCCCCGCCGACTGGAGCAGAGCCCTCGTGGCAGCCGGCGGCACAGTGGGAGGGGCCGCGTGGCAGTGCCCCTGCTGTAGCCCTGCCCGCCCCTTTCCCGCCTGCTCCCTCTCCCTCCCCCCCGCACGCCGCAGGGTTTTTTTTTTTTTTTTTGCGCTTGGGGCGGCCAAAAAGTCAGAGCCGGCCCTGGCTGCCTGGAGCACCGGTGGCTGGCGGCGCTACAGCCGCGCCCCAGGAGCTCACAGTCCCGCCGCTCAGAGCATTGCGCCAGCGGCACAGTGAGCTGACGCTGCGGGGGAGGGGGAACAGCAGGGGAGGGGCCAGGGACTAGCCTCCCGGGCCAGGAGGGTCCCGCGGCATAGTTTGTCCACTTCTGCCCTATGAGGTATCAAAATGATATATATATTATATATCCCCCTTGCCCCCCGAAATAAACCAAACAAATCCCATTAAGATAGTTAAGGATGAGAATAAATTTCTTAAAATAGTGTTTCCGAAATGGTGGGATGCAGCAAGTATCTAAATGGGTCCCAGGCTTGGGGAAGAGGCCAGAGAGCAAGACCACCCTGGAACTCCTGTCCCATGGAGCTGGGCCTGGCTCCCCGATCTGGGTGTTGCAACCTGGTGCACGGAGTCACAGTACCACTCGGGTTTGGCCTGGCTGCCCGTCCTACGAGTGGTGTGATCTGGTGGACGGGGTGGTAGTGCCACTCAAATTTGACCTGGTCATGATGGAGTGGTGGCTGGGCCAAATCTGAGTGGTGCTGCAGCCCTGTGCACCAGGTTGCCATACTTGTAATGGGGAGCTGGGCCCACCCCATGGTACAGAAGCCACTGCCACAGGGTGAGCGAGGGGCAGGCTTGCTCTCCAACCCCGAGGCTTCCCCTGCACGCTGGGCTGGGATTAGGGTTCCAGTACCGGGGTTGCCGCAGGTGACTGGTGCCCCTCAGTGGGGCAAGGAGGAGGAAATGGCAGAAGCAGTGGAGGAGGAGAATGGCACTGGCCTATGATTTTGCCCTGCCCCACTCTGAATTTGGATCCAGGGAAAAAAAAATATTCACAAAATGCAGTTGGTGGGTTGCCTTAGTAAAAATTTTGGGAACCTCTGTCTTAAAAACCCCTCACTATTTTATTATTATCTCCGCTCAACCTTTTCCAAGTGGCAGGAGATCTATACTGGCTGCTACTCAAAATAAACCTGTATCTGCTTGGTTATGTATGTGGACATGGAGTATGGAGTTTCCTAGTATGCTATGACCTACATCCTGCTTCGGGTATAGGGATAATCACAGGCTCTTACGGTAAATATTATAGGGGCTCACATTTGCAGACTGGACAGGATCCAGGTTGATCTTTGGCCTATATTCAGAGAATAAAGTTTCCATTTCACAGTGGGAAAGGAAAAGGGGTACACTGGGTCTGTAGTCCACAGGAGGTTGGTGTCTCCAGCCCATGCAGTGAAGGGAAGATGTGGGATGTTGTGCTCTCTGGCCTGTAGCGTACTGCAGGATGGGAAAGGGTGTTCTCCAGCATGCTGGTGTTAGATGGATATGCAGTTCATGGGTCAGCCTGCTGAGTTTTCCCAGGAACTCTGGGCATGGTCACCCATGTTGGAAAAACATGAAATAAAGTGATGCAGGGGTTAGGACTAGAACTTTACTGAGGATTTCCTGTCTTTTGAGCTTTTATAACACGTAACTTTGTAAAAGTAATAAATAACAGTATAAATAAATAAATAAATAAATAATGGATGTGTTCAAGTAACATTACTCAATTTTGACAGAATTCATTGTTAGGGAACTTTGATATCTTAAAATAAACCAATTTCCCCTCTGATTCTGAATTACAGAAGAAAATATTAATGGACACTAGAATAAAAATTTGAGCAGTGATCTGTTGTTATACAAATCAGCTCCCTCAAAGAAGTTTCTGTCTTGCTCATGACCTGCACGTACACTGTGGAAAAGAAGTCTGTGCACCCGCGGGCATGCCCAAACCCTTCAGTTTGTTTCCAGAGCTTGGGCACCAACACCACCATGAACTAGCTGTGAGCAGGATGTGCAGTCAACTGATTACCATGCGAGTGAATATGCTAAGCTTCCATACACTAGTTGCTTTGCTTCCCTGTAATCCCATGTCCAGTGCTATGACAACCAAGTGAAGAAAAAATACTGTTTGGTAGCCTGGGACAATCAAAACCCCCGTACGAATGAGTGAAATCTCTTTGCTTACTGACAAGAGTACATTCCTAAGTGCATAGGCATATGCAAAACTCAGAATTGACCTCCTATCTTAGTTAACTGTGCAAATACTAATCCATTACAGAAGAAATACATAATATGCCCAACTAGCTCATGTAATGCTTTACTAAACTGCACCCTGCAGCTGTGCCAAACTTTACACTACAGTTTCCCTCCTAAACAGCATCTATCATTAAATACTTATTGTCATCTAATGAAGAAGAGCACAACTCCCATCTGCAAAAGCTCCTAGAATATCAGTGCAATGAAGCAAAGGTGGCACACTCCGCATCTGAACGTTCCTTGTCCAGATTCACAGGATCTCCATTTCCTCCATGGAAAGGCTGATATGGCCTGTAGCTTGACTGACTTTTTTCAGGAAGAAGATTATAGGAATTAGTATTTAAAGTGGATATTTTCTCTGTGTACCACTGGAATCTTCACACAACAAAGCATAGTACTTCTTGTAGGTCATCTGAGTGATATATGTTTGCCTATAGCTCACATGGCCTATACCTCACAGCAGGGAGACTTCAGAGACATATTAGGAAGCATCTACAACTAATTCTAGAATATGGATTGCTGCAGGTGACCGGATTCTAAGGAATGACTACGTTTAAAACCCATGTTAGAATCATGTACAACTTCTCTTCCATCCCCCACAAAAACTTCAAAAATCAAAACAAGAAAAAAGCTGTAACAGAAACCATTCCAAATGTGAAAGATTTTATTTAAATGGAACAAATGTATGTTTCTGATTGAGTTTTTAAAACAACTCAAGATGTGATATTATGTTATCATCAACCTGTGCTGACCTCTGAAAGTGTTCCCTTGGTAAAAAATAATGTTTTTTTTATTACATAAGGTAAAAAAAATTAAGTGCCTAAGTGATTTTAAGCGCCTAAGTGATTTGTGAGCCTATGACCCATTTTCAAAAGCAACTCAAGAGCCCAAGTCTCACAAAGTCAATGGCACATCAGCACTTTTGAATATGTTATCCACGATAATTATATCACCCTACATTTGCTACAGTTGAGAAAATACATCTATTCTAACTCCCCTGGTTTCTAAAAACATGACCCTTTGGTTTGGAACAAATGCCATTTTGGGGTGGCGAATTGTAATATTCTGTTTGCATGTTTCATAAGTTGGTAAAAGGTGGAAAAACAATACATAAAATTCTAGTAATCTTCTACTGGTCAAAAATATTTTTCAAGTGATTTTGTGTTTGGTGAAAAACTGAAAAAAGAAAAATAATGCATACTCCTGAACAGTCAAGTTTGCCTGGGCCTTGTCCTGATTGGTGTGAAGAGTTGTTTGGGGGTATGTTGAACCCTACACAGCATATATGTTTCAAGTCAGACCAGATATCACAGCGGTACCTTCTGGACTTGGAAGCTATGGAAGTATTTTCTATATGTTCTCTACCTTTACAGATTAGGTTGCCCATTTGCTAACGTTATCTATGACCTGCTACAGCTTGTGTGCCCAGAACAAGGAGGACGTTTGTGGTTGGATCAGATCCTTTAAAATAAAAATCCTGGACAGGAACCTATAACTTGGGAGTTATGGGATACTTTCGCACCAATATTTTGAGGTCCCATTATGAGCCTCCTGAGGCTGACCTTTACTGAGAAGTCGTAAAGAAATGCACAACTGAAGTGCCAAAGGCTGGATTCATCTCCCTGGATAGCAGGAAAGAATGAGGTTCAGGACATTACTACACACTTAAAAAGCTGTGACAAGTGCTCTCCCATTGTGCAGAGGGCGAGGTCATAGCTCTGCCCAGATATCTACCCTGGGAGTGTGCTCAGCTTATGATGGTGCCTATGCCAACCCAAAGGCCAATGGAATCCTAACCACAGAGGTCTTGCCCCCTTCTTGTATACTGGACTGCTGGGAGACAGATATACTTGCTTCTGTGTGGGTATATCAGAGGACTGAAAATTGCTCCTTGCACCATCTCCATCACTGTGCAGGCAAGATGCATAATTTAGCGCTGGGAGTTGTAGTGCTGGTGTCACACTCCAATAGCCCCCCTCCCTCAGGGAGTCCCCTGGGGAGGCAAATCAGCATTATATGTTGCTAACGCTGTTATAGGCATTGCAAAGTATTTCGGGAAGGGTTAAAGGTGTGAATGTGGAATGAAAGGTTCGTTTGCAGGTTGCAAGAGGCTGAAGAGGGGAGGGAGGGAGAAGAGAACGGGTTAACTCGACGCTCCAGCTAGGACCGAAGATAAGACGCTGACTCCAGCCCAAGGTCACGGCAGACAATCGACGCTCGACTGCCTGCCAAGAAAGACGGGGGCCTGAATTCCAACCCTGACCAACCATGAGAAAGGAGAATTCAGCTGAACAAAACTGCAGGGGCTGCAAAAACTAATGAGACAACGAAGGTCAGCGAGGGGGACAACAACAGTTTTGCGTCCCTGAAGCCGGTGTGTTTTGGGAAAGCTGAGGGAGCCACGGAAGGCTGGTTTGGACTGGTACAAAGAGCACAGGGGACAGAGGTCCCTGAATGAAATGCCCCCAAAAGACCCAAGGACTCAAAACCCTCCTGAGAGCTGAAGCAAATCGGAGATCAACAGTGGACCCTGGATGGCCTGTGCATAGGACAGAACTCTAGTCCACCCTTCCCCCTCTTCTTCTTACGTTACACCCAGGCTTGGCCAGCCTTGGATTGTTCATGTGTAAGTATAAAAGTGGGCTAGGGTACAGGCACTAATGCTTTCTTCCTTCCCCTAAGCGACATGGGAAGCATCCCACCCCTGTTATTTTATTAATAAAGCTATAAAACTTAGACACTTGGTGTGCTCCTTCATCCCCTCCCCTAACGATTCTGTGGCCTCAGCCTAATCACCTGATGCCTCAAGCAGATTGGTAACATAAATCTGTCACACTGGCATAGAGCAAATAAATTATATAATCTCACTCCCTAGAACACTGAAACAAAACTAACAGCACATCACTTACAAAAAACAAAACAAAACACTGGCTGGTTCAGCCTTGGCAAGATCTCTGAAGTAGTTTTGCAAACACAAATTTAATTTTTGAAATTCAACATTTAATACCCAAACTGTGAGCTGTTTCCCAGTAACCAGGCCCATGCTGTAAGGCAAATTTGGGAATTAGAATCTATTATAATGTTCATGAGACTTCAACAGAACAAGCTCCAGCTAGCAGGCACTCTACCACACATGCTAGCGTGTGTTTAATTCCTCCTATAACTTTACGGAGAGGTAAATTTGTCCTACGGCAATACTATGAGGTGGGGTTTTTAGCTGTTTTATCTAAAATAATCTTGCAGATGTGAAGTTTTCCAATGCCCAAACTGTTATTGTTTGTCTTTGAAATGTGTTTGGGGGGAAGTGCTTGCAGCGGGGAGGCAGTGGAGAGAGAGAGATTGACTCAAAGACAAAGTTTGGAAACAAAAACAAAGGTCCTGAGTAGCCCCAACTCTCACTGGTTGTCAAAGGGAGTTGCAGCTACTCAGCATTTTTCAGGATCAAGTTCCAATCCAATCAGTTGATCTCAAATAAAGCAGTACCATACCTGCAATGATATCATCCATCTGCTCTAGGGCTGCTTCAAGCATATGACTAGCATCAGAAGCCATGATTTCTGACTTGCCCAAACCTTTATTCCTCGTACTGGAAAAAATAAAAAAATAGGGAGATGAAGTCATACATATTACACTAAAACACAGACATTTTAGAGAATGTATTTCAATATGGCTCTGCTGTAAACTGAACCATGTGAACTAAATTCACCCACTGGCAAAATAAGGCACAATGCCATAAAAGCCAATTTTAACTCAGCATTTCCAGCTGTTCATTTACGTTTACCTTAGTTTTTTCTTCTATGTAATTTCACCAAAATCAGCAATATCAGATTTTAAAATGTGAATGGAAGGCTTGAGATTCAGACATGAGCTCTTTCTTAAAAACAGAGGTGAAGTCTTCTTCCAGATACTAGGCTTGCTTCTCTCCCACCCTCCCCATTTGAGGGGGAAGGAGGATTCACGCTCTTAACAGGGGTCAGACAATTGTGGGCTACCATCATTCCCGGGGTTTCCAGTGGGGTATGACATTTTTATACACATTATTATACCACTGGTGTGGCTCCCGAGGACTCTGACTGACAGAGGCTGAGTGGGGAATGGAACTAAGACCAAAACACCAAACCTCCCTGGTAAGCATCTTGCACTTCCTTACCCTCTGAATCCCTGTCTCTAGGTGCCCTGTGCTCTTCCAGTGATACAACTCAGCATAAATCAATGCTCACAGTCTAGTGTCTTCTCCGACTCCTCTCTCCACACAATCAGGCTATTGTCCAAGCTTTCGGCTGCTTCTTCCGCAACATATTGAAAATAGAGCTCTCTTTTTCTGTACAAGTGGCCAAAATGCTCCCTCAATCATTTCACTCGGTGAAGTAGCTATATAGTTATCTGTGGGGGTGAGAGGGAGGGAGCTCCCTGCGAGTGGGGGGGGGGAAGGAGGAAGATTGAAGGGAGGTTCCCACCTGATATCAGAGATATTACTGTAAAATCCCAGGCAATATTTTCCAAAAATATCTCAATTCCCAAAAGGGTCAAAGATCATGTAACTCCCCTGCCAAATTCCTTTCTAAGTAACAGTTCCTGTCATCAACAGATAACATTTCAAAAGAAAACAGAACATGCACCACCTTTTGGCAGCTTGTGCTGGGGCGGATGCTGGAGACGGGGGGTGGATACGTGGGGGAGGGGGGACATTGCCTCCCAATTTTTTAAGGGCAGGGCCATGCCCCTCACTTCTGAGAACCAGAATTCAGCAGGGCACAATGAAGAGGTGTCCCAGGCTCCCTGCTTGGCCCCTGACCGAACCTGGGTGGTGTAACGGCAGGCCCCCTGCCCTTGGCCCAGATACCCCTCTGTCATGAAGAAGCGGTGGCCAGGCCAAGCTGCTCCCCTCCCCCACTTCTGCAATCCTTCCAGCCCCCCCACTGGTGCTAAGAATACCTTTGAAGTAAAACTTCTCATATGTCCATTTTATGGCTGAGGTATGGAACCAATGTCCAGGCTATCACTGAATTATTCAGTGCCGGTGCTAGCCCATTGTGGGCCCTAGGTGGCACTAAAAATGTTCCTCCCACCCCTGCCACAACACATACTCATAATTAATAACCCCCTTCACCCTCCCCCCCCCCACACAGCTGCCCAGGGCCTAAGCAACTGCTTAGTCTGCTTATGCCCAGCGCCAGCTCTGGCTGAACAGGCCTTTGACTTCTACATTCTTGCCTACTTTTCACATCACTATAACATGCAAATCAAGTGTTGCAGGTCTCGGTAAGGAATTTTAATCAGCATTTTGTGTTCTGTCTGTTCTTCCATAGGGGGGCTTGATTCATCCCTTGGTGGCTCTGGGAACTACAAACTATATTCTCCTGCAAGTTTCTGAACCCCAGGTGCATTCACCCAAAAAGAGGACAGACAATGTTCCTCTGGGTCGCGTCCACTGGCTCCCTGGATGCCTTCGAGGAGCAGTGGGCACCATCCAGGGTTCTCTGTGTCTCCCTCTAGCTCCCTGCTTTTGATCCTGTGACCCTCACTTCCATCCCTGTTTTCTCATTTGTTGTCTCCTGGCTTTACTTGAGCGCTGGGTTCAGTGGCTTCTCACCTTAGGTTGTACCTCCTTTCGAGTAGACTTTCCACCAGCAGGCGCCCCAAGTACTCAAGATGTGTATAGAAAGACAATTGAGTCTATTTTGATTAACTAATGATAAATAGCTATGAGAACACTAAATTAGCTTTTTCTGAATGAATGAACCAGATTGCTCTCACACCAAGCATTGCTTCTCAGAAGTGAAATTTCTGAATAGTAGTCTAAGATTAACCTAATTCAGAGCCATGCAAGAGTCTTTGTTGAATGTGTTTGTACTGGGACATTTCTATTTGACTGTAAAATCCAATAAACAAATGTGGCTAAACAAGTTCTTTCACAGAAGGATTTAGAGGGAGAGTTATTCCTTTTTAAGATGTGGAAAAACATGCTCACCTAAAATGAACTTTAGGTTATGCTGTTTTAAAGTGACAAACTTTAGCAAGTGATTCTGCAAAGAAGTTCTGGCCATAATTCACTTAAAAAGGGATGATTAAGGAGGAAATGTGAGCTGTTCCTTTTCATGTCATATGATTATTAATATGAATACCAGCACCAGTTCCAAGGGTTGGAGAGTAGGGCAGTTGCCCTGGGTGCCAATTTTCAGGTAGAACTGTACTGCATTTTTTTTTCTTGATTAATACAGTGGTGGAGTATGGAAAAAACACATGAATAATACCAGATTTGACAGTGCAATACTTTGCTTTAAAATAGCCAGTCATTAAACTATCTTTTTTAGGTGGGGGAATGCCACAACCAGCCTTCCTTATCTTTCTATTTGCTTAAATAGACAGGGGAGGGATAGCTCAGTGGTTTGAGTATTGGGCTGCTAAACCCAGGGTTATGAATTCAATCTTTGAAGGGGCCACTTAGGGATCTGGGGCAAAATCAGTACTTGGTCCTGCTAGTGAAAGCAGGGGGCTGGACTCGATGACCTTTCAGGGTCCCTTCCAGCTCAATGAGATAATATATATATATGGAGATATACCTATGTTTTTTGATCCTTTAGATTCCAAAGAATAAAGACAGCTATTAGGCCTTGATCTGAAATAGCCCAAATTTGCTGACTTCCAAGGCATGCTACAAAAGCCATTTTTAACAGAATCTCTGTAGAAGGCTGAGGATATGCTTCCTATATGATGAAGTGGTGGGTGGTTGGCCAAGCTCCTGTGGAACTCATGATGAGATGAGATTTAATTCAATTGTATTTATTGTAGGAGTAATTATATTAGGGTACCTAGAGTTCTGGATAATTTTATTATTTTAAAAATAATTAATAAATTAAAAGTTAATAAATAAATATCTCAAATGACAAGCTATATGTATATGAAGATATTTTTGTCTGGTATTCACTCAATGGTAGTTCCAGTGTCCACTTTCAATGACGTCGCTGGTAATTAAACACCCACGTTTATTCTCATAATAGCAAGCTTCCTGGAGATAAACACTAGGATGAGAATCAATCAGGCATAAAATAGAATTGTGCATTAAAATATAATTATCCATTTTTTGTTTACCAGGGAAACAGTCATGCAATACTGAAAGAGTACCTAAGGCTAAGACTCCAAATCTTTGTACCATAAGAAACATCGTAGCTCAGTAGCAAACCTGCCACAGTGGAAAATACAGATATGTAGATCTGAAAGGGACCTCAAGGTCATCTAGTCCTTAGGGCTGGGCAAACGGGGCCCACACCCAGGGTGCAGTAGCCAGGGGAGTGCCACAAGGGGCTCGGGCTTCCCGTGGCTGGCTGTCGCCGGACTCCTCTCTTCTCCAGCCTCTCCCCCACACTGGGCCAGTGGGCTTCTCCCAGCCCCCGCCCCCCTGGCTCCTCAGCAGGCCAGCTGAGGGCTCTGGCTCTGCCCCAGCCCCAGGGAGCCCGGGCCGGTGTGGCCAGTCACTGGCGGCGCGACCCCCCATTCCCTGCCTGGAGTGGAGTTGAGTCCCTCCCTGACTGTGGCCCTGTGCCGCTCGGTCTCTGGTGGGGGCCAGGAGGCGCGAAACTTCCACGTGGTGGGGGAGGACGGACTTAAAGTGACAGTGCGCTCAGTGTCTCTCAAACTTCCCTAAACACACACAGACACACACACACACGGCTCTCATACCCATATACACTGTCTCTCACAGTCCTCCAACACAGATTGTCACACACACACAGGCTCGCTCTCTCTCTCTCTCACACACCACACGCGCGCGCGCGCACACACACACGTTTTATTATTGTTATTACTGCTTGGTACTTCCTGTCAAAATGCTCGTGGTGAGCCAGGAGTGGCTGGGGGCTGCAGGAGGGCTGTGGGCTCTGGCAAGATGCAGCCCCCATGACACAACGCAAAGCCTGCCTTGAGCCGCAGGCCAAGTGCCAGGCACTACAAGCCACTGCAGCAGCACAGAAGTAAGTGTGGCAATACACCATATACAATTCCATCCTTGCTTCTGCTGACAGTGGCCTAGGAATTTGCTAGTTACTCATTGTGATGTTATCTGATTAAAACATGACCATGTAGATCATTGTTGCAACCACTGTTATATATTTGCAATAATCTTGTACAAAATGTGGCATGTAAGATGTCTATGAAAAGGTTATGACTTGCTTAATATGTTTATGCTATTTTTATGCATGTATCATTTTTGTATTTGAAGTTATGAGTATTGGCTCTATACCTGTGTTTCAAATGTTTGCTCCTGGGGTAATGCCCACAAGGTAGTTAGTCAGCACATCCTGAAGGGACTAGTCAAAGAAAATGGCTCATCAAGGGACACTTAACTCACAATGGACCATGGGAGCCACCCATCTACATTGAATGGACTTTCCTGTGGACATTCCATATGAAGTACAGGTAATGGCCCGGAGGTGATGAGGGGAGGGGAGCTCAGGGAGCCCGTAGGAGCCAGGGGTGATGATGGGAGGGGGAGATGGGGTGCCAAAATACAAGTTTGCCCAGGACAACATTTTAAGGCCGGTCCCGAGTCCAGCCCCCTGGGCTGAGACAGACCAAATATACCTAGACCATCACTGACAGTTATCTGTCATTAATATCTCTCCTTGCCCCTCTCCTTCCCCCCCCTTCCCCAATTACGTAGATTCCACAATCTCCCTTCGAATCTTATTTCAGTGCTTAACTATCATAGGGAGACAGTTTTTCCTAATATCTAACCTAAATCTCCCTTGCTGCAGATTAAATTGATTACTTCTTGAGACAAGAGCAGACATGGAAAACAATGATCACCATCCTCTTTATAACAGCCCTTAGTCTTCGAGTATGTTGTTATCAGGTCCCTATGTTTGCTATCAAGTAAAGATAACTTACTCCAGTTACAAATCAATAATTCTGTGATGCACGCACCACAGGGGCTGGTGAAATATTCACAAAGTTAATGATAAATGACCTTTCTGTTTAATCATTGCACTACTAATTTTTTGTGTTCTTAGGTCTATTTATACACGGCTCATCTGTCCATTCTATAACAGTAGTGCTGTCTAGAGGAACAGAGACATGAGTGGGATCGAGAACGACTGTGTTCAAATTCCAGCTCCGCCACAAACAGCTTCTAGCATTGGATAAATTGATGTCTTCACATCAGATAGAGAAGCAGAAGGGAATCATTCTCCAATCCATCCAAGGGGAATAACACTACATTTTTACTTTGGGTCCTTTTCTATTAAGTTATGTTAATAAAAATGCTATTTCATAATCTTAGGAAGATTAATAGACTAACTCGACCTATTCCTAACCCCTGCACTCATTTAATCAATACAGAAGAGGAATGGAAACAACCATTTTGGCAGGTTTAAAACAAAACAAAACAAAAAAAAACAGGCATGATCTCAGTTTATGCCCACCCCCCCCCAAAAGATGATTATCTAAGCAAAAAAAATCAAACCCGTTTAAAATTAAGCAGGATAGTATCTTCCATATAAGGATAGAGTCCACCTTCTATAGAGCTGATTATAAGCACCCCGTGCAGAAAGCGCTGTTTTGTAACCTTGACAAGCTACAGCAGGCATACAAATTTATTCTCTATATGTGGCAACTTCACACTGCTGCAAGAAACACTGAAAACAATTTCTGCTAGAAATATGATGATTAAGGCAACTAAGCATTCTGAAATGTGGTGCAGAATGCACTAATCTTGAACAAGTCCAGAGGCCATGTGTCCCTCACACTGTATACACAGAGAACAAGAATTTTCTCAACTTTCCCTCGATTTCCAGAGTCAGTCCCTCAGAGGAAAGCCAGCACTCCTCTTCAAAATAAACACTGACATCTAAATATTCATCTACGATCTCCAACAGAAGTAGTTAGTTTTCGACTGCATGGCCCCAAGGTTGGCCCTAACAAGTTTGCACTGCAGTATGTTGAGTAAACATTGCTAGAACAGGTTACTTCCCGTTGGATCTGATGCTATGCACCAAAAACTAGACAATAACAGTGGGCCAAATCCTGTTCTGTTATACCTATGTGATCCCACTGCAATTCTGCATTGCCATTTGTGCTTCACATCTGAATTATCTAACGGGAGAAACCTCATCCAAAGTTGTGATTATATCCATTACCATAGAGATAATATACAGGTTTTTAATATGATCTCAGCTATTGGGAGAATAAGGATAATGTCTTCACTAGCAACATAAAACCACCTCCACGAGGGCAGTAACTACCAGCACTGGTGCACTGTCTACTCTACACTACCACTTTACAGCACTGAAACTTGCAGCACTTTGGGTGGGTGGGTGCTTATGTGTGTTTTTTCATACCCCTAAGCAAGAAAGTTGCAGCGCTGTAAAGTGGCAGTGTAGACAAGGCTTAAGTTTAGTGCCTTAATAAATTATAAAAGGCCCTTGGACCATTAATACTGGTTTACTTGTTTTCAATTTCCTTCTCAGTTCTTGTTTTCAAACAAAGGGTCTGACTTCCTACTTATGGAAGAGACCATGATCTGCATTGTGTTGGATTTGTTATTCAGTTTGAGATTTGCTACAAAAAGAATTATTTGATAATTAAATATCCAGGGTGTAAAACTGAACTGACTGGTCAGATTTCCTGCTGGCAACAGACCTAAGAAGAGACAAGACGTTGAATCTTTGGAGAGTTCTTTCTTCCTCACTTTTTTGTATTAGAAAGATGATTGAGTTTCTAGGTCTAGAAATTAGCATTAATCAGAAACTTTTATTGAAAAATAATTTTGATGAAAAAGCCACAGAATTTTTCATTTTGGGTTTTTCACCAACCCTACTAGGAATAAGCTTGACAAGTGAATTTGGGGATGGGGGAGAGGGGAGTGGGAGGTGGAGAACACAAAAAAGCAACCTCCCCAAAAGTATTCCAAGCTTCAGATAATCATGGAATTTGGAGATGAACACAACCTATAATTAGGTCATCTTGTCCTTTTCCTGCCAATGAAGGACAATTCCCTCTTTTAAGTGACTTATACAATGAGGCTTCCCCTCTTTCTTGGGAAACTATTCCATAGCCTAAAGTGTCTTCCACAGATCTAACCTTACCCAGTTTAAAGTTATTGTTTTCTCAGCTGCGCCCCATTTATCCTGTTTATACTGCTAGATCCTCTGGGCATCACTTATCTATTCCCTCCTCCATGAGCAAGCCCAAAGGGAATACCAGCTTTCTATTGCTCATCAGCCACTCCTACTGACTGATCCACATTTAAGATGTGATTGTCTTGGGCTCTAAGATCTCTATGTAGCAGTGCATTTCTATTCAGCAAAGCACTTAATCTCATGAATGAGATGAGCAATGTTTAAACCGTTTGCTGAATTAGAACCTGAGAAAAGTCCCATCACATTCTCCTGGACTCAAGGGTAGAAATAAATCAATGATCCAGAGAGAAATGAACTGGAAAGATAAATGTATTAAGATTCCCCAAGGATGGAGAATGACTCTTATGTTCATTTGCCTACTTGATCCATGCTATGTTAATTTTGGCAGCATTTTCTTTTCTTTCTTTTTAAAAGAAGAGGTTGATGCAGTTAAAGCTGGTCAAAAGTTTTCCAATGAAACATTTTTACATCTGAAAATGCCATTTCATTAAAATTAAAACTTTCTACAGGAATCATAGAGGACAGAATCATTGACTGGGAGGAACCTCAATAGGTCTTCTAGTTCAGTCCCCTGCACTCAAGGCAGGAGTAAGTATTATTTATTTTAGACCATCCATGACAGGTGTCTCTAAACTGCTCTTAACAACCTCCAATGATGGAGATTCCACAACCTCCCTAGGCAATTTATTCCAGTGCTTAACTACCCTTACAATTAGGAAGTTTTTCCTAATGCCCAACCTAAACCTCCCTTGCTGCAATTTAAGCCCATTGCTTCTTGTCCTATCCTGTATCAATTTTGGTGAAATTTCATTTAGAAAAAAATTGAAACAAGGGGTTTTGATAAGGTCAACATTATATGAATGGCACACTTCAATTTTTCATTTTGAAACAATTTTTTGTTTCAAAAGTTTATTTTATTTTATATTAGAATATAAAATAAAATAGTGAAAATTAGAACAAAAAATTTCAAATTTATGAAAACTGAACATTTTGATGGACCTAAACCAACTTTTTTTTCCAGAAATTTCATTTCATTGGAAATTTTCAAATTTTTCTGTGTTATGTGTGTTCATTCCAACTCAGAACAAAAACAAAATTTCAAAATAATGGAATTTCCCAAGGAACAAATTCTGTCTCTTGCGCAGCTCTACAATTAATATAAATGTTGATTATCTGAATCATACAAAGGTAAAATATATTTAAGGTTAATTTATATCTACATATTTTATTCATATAGCATGCAAAATAAACAAAAAATGGAACATGGAATCAGAGAACCTGCATGTTTTATGTTATATGAGGTAAGGGAGGTAAAGAACATCTGTGTTACAATATGGCACTCAAAATACCTGAAAGTATGGTTTTCTCTCTCTTTTTTAGAAAAATATTTAGATTTTTTTAAATTACTATGTTGAATGTAAGTCAGCTTCCCCTCAGACCTATTTAATCTTCATTATAAATTGATTGAGTTAAACATAACTTGGGTATTTCCAAACAGATTTATCATTTATACAAATATTCTGGAACTTGTTATGTGCCCCATCGTTTATAGAAACTTGCTTCAATGCTGCTGATCCAGTGTTTTGATTTTAGTAGTTTAAGGTAGATTCCGGTCTCCTGTTGCCACATCTTTTAATGTGGTATTTGCTGGTATAATTATTAGATTCAGGAAAAAATTTTTTGCCCACCAGAGATATTGGCCCTGATTCACAGCTACAACTGGGCTGCTCTGCATCACTCTGCCACTGCAGTGACCCTCATGCTGGCATACTGGGTCACAGAAGAATCTCACCAGTGTAGGAGGATCCTCCTGTGGCAGAGAGATGCCTTAGTGGCTCCTATGCTACCTTGCCCCTTTGGCTGAAGAATAGGGCATGTATACATTCCTTAGCAATCCAATGGCCTCTTGGGGCCATTGACAGCTTGTGTAAATTGGAGCAGTTCAGATCCTGGACTGGTGCACAGCTGGCCCATGATTGGGGGGAGAGAGGTAATAAAAAATGTTTGCTTAAAGCCTCCAGCCTCTGAGCTGCACTATGTGCCCCTCATTTGCAGTGTAAGATTGTGGCCATGGCATCCTATATGCTTAAACCAGCCAGATGGATTCACATTTATTATTAGCATGAGATGCCAGAAAATGAGCTCTTCCTAAATATAAAATATATGTTTGGGTACATGCATGTATTTACGCAGTCACTAGGGGGGAAACAGTCACTAAGAAAATGACAGAAACTTCAACCTTTCACTGTGAATATGATATTGGTTCCGCTTATTACAGTTTTGACATTAACACAAGACTGTTAGGTCAAGTAAAAATTTATTGTACTGAAAAAAAAAACCCTACATTTCTGAGTTGCAAAAAAAATGAGTTAATTTTGAGTGGTAAACTGCATGAAAAGTTTGCCATTATTTTACATGGTCTTGCTACACCTTGTATTTTTCCTCACCACCACTTCATTGTACACACCTGCCACAATATATTTATTATTCAACTGAAAGTCAAGATAAGTAAAAAAAACCTCCAAAAGCCATATCATAAATAATATATTAAAAAAGTAGAGCACAGTGTAATTTGTTCCAGAATGACAATGTAATACTACTTGCTTGACATCTTTTTCTAGCCAGACCTGTTGCTTGAGCTTCAGGCAAGTTTCATTTTCCCCAGACACGCCTCTCATGCTTGTTTGTCTACTCTAAGCAAGAGTTTTCAAGCAGCTCACTAGATCCTGTACGATGTCAGTTAAAGTCTTTGGCCCTAATTTTGTATAAGTATCTGCTAATGTGGACTCTTGTCAATGGGACCCTTGTATAGATCCCACAGTAGGGTCAGGGCCTTGAAACGTAACACGTATTTGCTGGTATCTCTTTGCAATTTTTACTTGTTTGACAGTTTCTCTACTCAGATGACACCAACAGATGTGCAATTCATAAGATGCATTACAATACAGTACATGTAAAACTTCAAGAACAAAACAAAAATGAAAGGACTTATATCTCTATATAAGAAGAAAAACTATTTTTGGAGGAATAGCTTTGTTTTAATATCTAACAAGTTTGAAAAAAGATATTTTAACCTCTAAGTTAAAGCAAATCTAAATAAATATATATAAATCAGGTAGTCAGGGAAATACAAAAGCAACTCACTCACCTTTACAGGTCCCTAATGTGAGGTTTTCCTTTTGCTCTGATCTGTGAAGTCTTTCATTGCTAATAGTTGTAGCCTCACTACCAAACAAAT